AAAAGATGACTCTGAGTATATTCCAACTGAGTCTATAGACTATTTTGAGAAGAGACTGGACACAATGAACACTAACGACCAAAGACAAGACAACCTATGGGTTACCACTAAACACATCACACATGAAGAAGGCAGAAAGTCACTGAAAAGAAAGAAAGAAAGGCTACAATGGATGGTAGAAGAGACTCAGAAACTTGTTCTTGAAAGTAGAGTAGCTAAAGCAAATGGAAGAAACGATGAAGGAAAAGGTCTGAACAGAAGATTTCAAAGGATGTCTTGAGAAAACAAAGGGAAGTATAACAAAATGTGCAGAGGCCTGGACTTAGATAACCAAAAGGAAAGAACATGTTGGGCATTTCTCAAGCTGGGGGAGCTAAAGAAAAAATTCAAGCCTCGAGGTACAATACTGAAGGATTCTGTGGGCAAAATAGGACTCCTGGTGTAGGATCAGCACTGTACTACAAACCAGAAGGCTGGCAGTTCAAACTCACCAACAGATCCTCAGAAACCCTATACATGGGTGCTGTGACTTGGAATGGACTCAACAGCACTTAACAACAACAACAAATGGTCAAAATAAGGAGCTCTGGTGGCATCGTGGGTTACATGTTGGGTTACTAACTGCAAGGTCAGCAGTTTGATCCACCTAGCACTCTGCAGGAGAAAGATGAGGCGGTCTGCTCCCATAAAGCTGTACAGCCTCAAAAACCCTATACAGGGGTGCTATGAGTCAAAATCAACTTGATGGCACACAACTACCACCACCACCACCACCACCACCACCACCAAGGACAAAATACTGAATGATGTGGGATGCAACAAAAGAAGACAGAAAGAATGCACAGAAGCACTGTACCAAAATGAATTGGTCAATGAACGTTCAGCCATTTTAAGAGGTTGAACAACAGAGATCAATATTCAATGGAAGCAGCAAGAAGTTCAAGCTGCCTCAAAGGCATTGATGACAACAAGGCTCCAGGAATTGATGGAATACCAGTTGACAAGTTTCAACAAACTAATGCAATGCTGGAATCGCTCACTTGTCTATGCCAAGAAATCTGGAAGACAGCTTACCTGTCCAACCCACTGAACGAGATTCATATTTGTGCCCACTGCAAAGGAAGGTGGCTGATTAGAAAATAGTGATACCATATTGATCCCACAACCAAGTAAAATTTTGCTGAAGATAATAAAAAATAGTTGCAACAACATATCAGCAAAGAACTGCTAGAAATTCATGAAGATTCAGGACAATGAACAAGGGATATCAATGATGATGCCAGGTGGATCTTGGCTGAAAAGAGAGACTCTAAGATATTTACGTGTATTTCATTGACTATGCTGTTAAGTGCCGTCGAGTCGGTTCCGACCCATAGCGACCCTGTACAGGGTTTCCGAGGGTGTAAATCTTTACGGGAGTAGAAAGCCTCATCTTTCTCCCGCGGAGCGGCTGGTAGTTTCGAACTGCTGACCTTAAGGTTCGCAGCCCGATTCGTAACCACTACACTAAGTATAGATGACAACAAGTTGTGGACAACATTGTGAAGAATGGGAGTTCCGGGACACTATTTATGCTTATACAGAACCTGTACACAGACTAAGAGGCAGTCATTGAACACAGCAAGGGGATACTGAATGGTTTAAAATAAGGAAAAGTGTGCACCAGGGTTGTATCCTTTCACCATACTTATTCAATCTGTATGTGGAGCAAATCACCCAAGAGGTTGAAAAAGAGTGTGGCATCAGGACTGGAAGAAGGCTCATTAACAACCTGTCATATGCAGATGATACAACCTTGCTTGCTGAAAGCTAAGAGGACTTGAAGCACTTACTGATGAAGATCAAAGACTACAACCATCAGGATTAGGCCTCAACATAAAGAAAACAAAAATCCTCGCAACTGAAACAATGAGCAACCTCAAGATAAGCGAAGAAAAGTTGAAGTTGTCAAGGATTTACATGTTACTTGGATCCACAGGCAAGGGTTTACATGTTACTTGAAGCCACAGTCAATGCCCATGGAAGCAGCAGTCAGGAAAGCAGACGACAGAGTGTATTGGGCAACTCGTCTGCAAAAGATCTCTTTATAGTGTGAAATAGCAAAGATGTCACTGTGAAGACTAAGGCATAGCTAACCCTAGCCATGGTATTTTCAGTTGCCTTAAATGCCTGTGAAAGCTGGACAATGAATACGGATGACTGAAGCAGATCAATGCATTTGAATTCTGGTGTTGGCAAAGAAAATTAAATATACTACAGACTGCCAGAAGAATGAACAAATCTATGTTGGAAGATGTACAGCCAGAATGCTCTTTAGGCTGGAGAATGGTGAGACGTTGTCCCACTGACTTTGGACATATTACCAGATGGGACCAATCTCTGGAGAAGGAGGACATCATGTTCAGTAAAATAGAACGTCAGTGAAAAACAGGAAGCTCTTCAAGACGATGGATCGACACAGTGGCTGCATGGCAACAACTGTGAGGATGGCGCAGAACTGGGCAGTGTTTCATTCTCATGTACATGGGGGTTATTATGACTGGGAACCATTCAATGGCACCTAACAAGGGAGAATCTGGCTGGGGCACATCGGACGCTACATTCACATCTGCGTGCCTTTGAAGGACTCTTCTGCAAACATCAAACGACAGCCTGGGAAGACACAGGCTACTTAGTGTGCCCCAGTGGGATCCTGATATGGATCTGTAGGAAAAGCACTAGACTACTAACCCACTAGGTGCTCTTTGGAAATCCTATACCAGGTTACTGTGAGTCAGAATTGACTTGACGGCACTTGAAAGCGACAATGGTGGCCCAAAGGGGTCAACAATAACAAAAATCTGATGTAAAATCAAAGTCTGCTTGATTCCGGTTATTTATTCAGAGACTCCTGCCCAACCATAAGGCCTTGGTAGCACAGTGGTTACGCACTCAACTGCCAACCAAAAGGTCAGTGGTTTGAGTCCACCAGCTGCTCTGAGGGGAACGATGTGGCAGTCTGCTTGGGTAAAGCTTAGCAAGGGGATGTTTTGTACTCTACCCTTCCAGGGTCCTGAGTCGGAACGGACTTGATGGGAAGGGGCATGGAAGCCCCTCAATGCCCTGCTGGCTACATACCCAGAAAGCAAACCCATGTGTGCAAACATGGGAGAAAACGTCCCTAACTTTATCAGAATCTCTACTAGGTCCCTATTTTGAATTTTCAGCAGTCAACGCTCTCCAAGCAGATAAAGAAAATCAACAGCATAAATGACAAAAGATCAAGGTAAGCAAACAGAACAAGTGACCCTGCGAGAAGACTGCGTTATGTAGGGAAGAGACGTGTCATGATAGCCTTCAGAGAAACTTGACAAAGCACTGCATCCATACAGCAGGAAGAGGAAGACTCACAGAACCAGAAGGCAGTGCTGAAACAGGCAAGAACTCGAGACTGCAGCTTTCCTTGCAGCCCTGTGACCCTGCTCAAGTTCCCGGCTCTCTCATGGCCTCACATTTTGATTTGCGACCCCATGAGGTCCCTATTTTACCTCAAATGGTCTACTTTCTGAGGGCTCCGTCCCTGGCGGCCCTGTCCTGGCCTCTCCCTCCTTGGTAGGCTTCATCTTGTCTAGTCTGACTTTCAGAGAAGCTTGCTCTCTCCCCAATGTGGGCACAGTGCTGAATCCATTGGGTAGGCCTTTCTCATCAGTGTCCCACCAACACCCTGTGAATTAGCTGAGGATGAGCTGTTTCACTTAACAAAGGCAGACACTAAGACTCAAAGAGGTAAGAAAGCCCACTGCCTTCAAGTCAGTTCTGACTCACAGTGACCCTGTACAGGGTTTCAGAGGCTGTGAATCTCTATGGGAGCAGACAGCGTCATCTGTCTCCAGAGGAGCAACTGGTGGGTTTGAACCTCTAACCTTGTAGTTAGCAGTCCAGTGCTTATTCTATACTGCTACCAGGGCTCCTTCAAAGAGATTATGTTGTTGTTGTTCAGTGCAATCAAGTTGGTTCTAACTTATAGTGACTCTGTGTAGGGTTTCCAGGGAGCAGCTGGTGAATTTGAATTGCCGACCATAAGATTCAAACCAACCTTGCAGTCCAGTGCTTATCCTACAGCGCCACACTAGGGCGCCAGTCAAAGAGGTTATAGGATACATTTTAAGTCACACTTGTTAGGAGAAGAGCTAGGATGGGCACCAAGTTTCTAGTTCCAGTGCTATCCTCTTCACCCCTCCCAAATTCAGACTCCAGCACCTTCTGTCAAGCGCATTTCTCACTGGGGAGCCATTCATTTAGACCCAAGCCTGGGTGGTACTCACACTCACCACAGCTTCTTGGTTGTCTTTGTATTGCTCTGGAAAGGGAGGCAGCTCTGCTTCATACTCTAAAGAGAGAGAGGGGAAAAAAATTCCTCAGTTCTCTATTTCTTCCTAGTTTGTCTTCTGAATAAAACCTTCTTAAGTTTATTTACAAGAATTTTATGTCTCATACTCTGGACATGTTGTTAGGGGGGACCAGTCCCTGGAGAAGGACATCATGCTTGGTAAAGTGGAGGGTCAGTGAAAAAGAGGAAGACCCCCAATGAGCAGGATCGGCACAGTGGCGGCAGTGGGCTCAAATGTAGCAATTGTGAGGATGGTGCCGGACCAAGCAGTGTTTTGTCCTGCTGCATAGAGGGTCACTATGAGTTGGAAGCGACTGGACAATACTTAACAACCGAAGTTTATTTTGGCGGGTGGTTTCTGAAATGAAAAACTGGCTTTCACAGGTGACTATTTCATGTGAACCAGCTTATTTAAAAGGATGCGAGACGATTGTCTCCTGCGTAAGGAGTGAAGAAGGCAAGCCTGAGACTTTTCCCGAGAGACACAACTAGAGAGTTTGCGCAAACTTTCAAACAATCACAAGGGAGAGAGAGTAGGGAAGGTGGCTAAGGGAGACACTGATAGTGAAAATGGGGAGAAAAGGGAGAAGAAAACACGAAGAGGACAGAACAGCGGGGATAAAGTGAGGACAATCAACCATGCATGTAAAACTGCCAGATGGCTGCTACCTGGCTGGAAGAGCAACCTCACAAGCCCTCCTACTCACTACTCCATAGATTAGCAGCATCCCCATCACTTGGGTGTTACTAAGGCTCACCCCGGACTCACTGAATTCCCATTTGTGTTGAGACGAGAACCCATGGTAAACTGTAGGTACATTAAAGTTTCAGACCAAAAACAAAGCAAACCTACTACTATTTGGTTCTGAGGTTGTAAATCTTTATGGGGACAGACAGCCTCATCTTTCTCCTGTGGAGTGACTGGTGGGTTTGGACTGCCAACCTTGCAGTTAGAAGTCCAATACTTTTCCTACAGAGCCACCAGGACTCCTTAAAGTTTGAGGAGGCCTATTTTAAAATGCCAATAGTTTCTCATGCTGTCTGTACATTATAATTACCTGGGGAGTTTTTTTAAATATACCAATGACTGGACCCAGAAATTCTGCTTCTACAGGTCTGAAGCAGGAGCCTGAGCCTTGTGGATTCTCATGTCCAGGGAGGTGGAGAAGCATCGCCAGGTTTCAAGACTCGCTGGAGTGCCTCACCCACAGAACCTGCCAACAAGTTCTACTCAAGTCCCTGGGGTAAAAACTCTTGCTGGAAAAGAGGCAGAAAATGCTCATGGGCTATATTAGTTACATCCAGAAAGGAAAGGCTGGTCAAACTATTTCTGGAGAGGCCAATGGTTTAAAGACAATTAGAGTCACTTTGCAGTGAGGAGAAAAAATCAGGTTTTGGTAAGGCAGTTTTGATGGGAGTCCCGTTTTCACTGGACACAAGCTTTAGGCCTTAGTCACTTCTCTCATAGAGCAGATGCCAGCTTTTTAAAAAACTACTTTTAAAGTATCATGACAACACATACTTCTGGTAAGGAGCCTGAGTAGTGCAGTGGGTTATGGATTAGGCTGCTAACAGCAAGGTCAGCAGTTTGAATCCATCAACCATTGAGTCAGTTCTGAATCATAGTGAGCCTGTATAAGGAGGTTTCCAAGGCTGTAAATCTTCATGGGAGCAGAAAGCCTCATCTCCTGCACTAATTTCCTATTGTTACATAACAAAGTTACCACAGACTCAGTGACTTTAAACAATCCACGCATTTATTATGATCTTGCAGAGAGTCCTTGGGTCCAGAGCTCAAGTACATTTCAGGATCTCATTAGGTGGTCTCATTAGGCTGAAAACCAAGTGTCAGCCAGAGATGTGGTTTCACCCAAGGCTTGGGACCCTCTTTCAAGCTTACTGGTTGATGGCAGAATTCAATTTCTTGTGTCTGTAGGTCTGAAATCGCATTTTCTTGCTGATTGTTAGCTGGGGATCACCCTTGGCTCCTACGGGGCCACCCTCGGCTCCTAGGGGCCACCCTCAGCTCCTACGGGCCACCCTCGGCTCCTAGGGGCCACCCTCGGCTCCTACGGGCCACCCTCGGCTCCTACGGGCCACCCTCGGCTCCTAGGGGCCACCCTCAGGGCCTTGCCTCCACAGGAAGTTCACAACAGGGTTGTTTGCTGCATTGAGGTCAGCAAGGAGTCTCTACCGCTTAAAATGTGACTTCTTTTAAGCCTTTCATCTTGTTAGGTGAGGCCCATCCATAATAATCCTCCAATTTCAAGTCTTCTGATTAAAAGCAAGATTCATGTTTGTTTGATTAACTGGGAGGTGTGTACACCAGGGAACAGGAATCTTGGGAGTCATCTTAGAATTCTACTTACCATACCAGTGGCAGCTCTACCTTTTTTTTTTTTTTCCTGTTCATTTAAGCATGTAAATTCACCCATCTCCCACTCCCTTGAGAATCATTAATATAATATGGAAAGGGCTTACTTGAGTTCAAAATATAAACATTCTTTGCTTTTTTGATAACAAAAGCAATATATGCTTACTGTAAGAACATTTCAAATCATACAGCGGTGTCTCATTTAGAAAATGAAAGTCACATCTAATCCCATTCCAGTCTTAAACCATTGTTAGATTTGGCACTGATCCAACCAAATCTTTTCCTGTGCATTCACTAACATACGCATGTAACACATTTATTCGTTTTAAATCTCCCAGGCCAGGCCAAATCACCCAAGTATAAATCCTTACATAAGGCTACTTCCCTTTTCTTTATATCACAGGTCAGCTTTACCCTAATTTGAATTTTATAAAAATTAATGATTGTCTCTTCTAGCAGACCATACATTTTATGAAGACCCAGGTCTGTTTGCATTTACTATCATATCCCCAAATACTTGCTGAATGAATGAGTGAATGAATAAAAGTCCTATTATGTCATAATGCAGTTCAGTAAGTTCCTCTGAACCCTTTATGTGTACAATCATTCATAATTTTTGAGAACCTACTAGGAGCTGGGACGTATTGAATCTTGGACCTTTTTCAATGCTGATACATATATGATGTGCTATATTTATTTAACCAGCAAACTCTTGATGGGCATTTGAATAGTTTCCAATTTGTCACTGTTACAAACAATGCTGCAATGAACATCCTGAAACATTTATCATACATCTGAATAAGGGTATATTTTTGTAGGAATAATTCTTAGATACCAAACTCTTCTGCCTAAGGAAACATAACTTCAAATTTGGACACAATGTTTCCTCCAAAATTATGATAAGAATTTACACTGCTAACAATGAGCCTGTCCGTTTTGTCTCTGTTGTCCTTGAGTTTCATCAAGTTGGTTGTGATTCATAGCGACCTTGTATAAGGTTTCTGAGGGGCAGCTGGTGGGTTTGAACTGCCCACCTTGTGGTTCAGCACCACACCAGGAGTCCATTGTTTCTCTAGGGTATCATATTCATTTCCTAGAGCTACTACAACAAAACACCACACATTGAATGGCTTATTAGAACAGCAGCTTCCTGTTTCCCAATTCTGGAGGCTATACGACCAAATCAGGGATCGGCTGTGCTGATTCACTCTTGAGGATTCTGAGAGAAAAGCTGTTGCTTGACAAGTCCCTACTGATAACATATCCAAAGTATGAGAAATGCAGTCACACCGACCTACTTTCTAAGGAGCATTCTGACTGACCTTCTTCCAACACAGATCTGTTTGTTCTTCTGGCAGTCCATGGTACTTTCAATATTCTCCTCCGACACCATAACTCAAATGCATCAATTCTTCCTTCTATGGTCTTCCTTATTCACTGTCCAACTTTCACATGCATATGAAGCTTTTGAAAATACCATGGCTTGGGTCAGGTGCACTTTAATCCTCAAACTGACATCTTTGCTCTTGAACACTTTACAGAGGTCTTGTGCAGTAGATTCGCTTAATGAAATACATTGTTTGATTTCTTGACTGTTGTTTCCATGAGTGGTGATAGTGGATCTAAGCAAAATGAAATTTTTTGATAGCCTCCATCTTTTCTCAATTTGTCATGATGTTATTTATTGGTTGAGTGGTGAGGAATTTTGTTTTCTTTACATTGAGATGCAATCCACACCAAAGATTGTGGTCTTTGATCTTCATCAGTAAGTATTTTAACTTCTCTTCACTTTCAGCAAGGAAGGTTTTATCATCTGCATACTGCAGGTTGTTAGAATCTTCCTCCAAACCTGATGTCATGCTCTTCTTCACATAATTCAGCTTCTTGGATTACTTGGCCAGCATACAGGCTGAAAGAATACAATCCTGGCACACATCTTTCCTGATTTTAAACCATTCAGTATCCCCTTGTTCTGTTCAAATGACTGTCTCTTGGCCTATGTATAGGTTCCTCATGAGCTAAGTTAAGTGTTCTGGAATACCCATTCTTCACAATGTTATCCATAGCTTGTCATAATCCATACAATTAAAAGCCTTTCCATACTCAATAAGGCAAAAGTAAACATCTTTTGGGTACTCCTTGGTCATTGGTGGTGGTTATATGCCATGGAGTTGGTTCTGACTCATAGCAACCTTGTACCTGTAAAACTTTATGGGAGCAGAAAGCCTCATCTTTCTCCTAGTAGTTTCGAACTGCTGATCATGAGACTAGCACCATGTTACCAGAGCTCCTTGGTACTACTTATTGTTGGTAAGTGCCATCGAGCCAGTTCCGACTCATAGCAACCCCGTACAGGGTTTCCAAGGAGCAGCTGGTGGATTTGAACTGCCGACCTTGTGGTTTGCAGTCCAGTGCTGATCCAATGGCACCACACCGGAGTCCAAGGAGATTGGAAGATTTCCTTCCTGTCCTCCAATCACCTGACTCTTCTCAGTGAATGCCTTCCACGTCCACTAAGTGGTATCACAGAATATTTGAGGAGGGAGGCAGAAATGTGGACAGCTGTGGGTGATGAGAGTGGACACTGATAGGTATCAGCTGGTGTCATTTTCTCTCAGTTGTGCTG